TATTTTCATTTTTTCTGCATGTAGACATCCAGTTGGACCAGCACCATTTGTTGAAGATTCTGTCTTCTCCAACCCTATATCTGACAGAGGGTTGATATCCAGAATATATAAAGAACTAAAGAAGTTAAAAAGCAATCAAGCAATCCAATTAAAAATGGGGTATGGAGCTAAACAGAGAATTCTCTGTAGAGGAATATAGAATGGCAGAGAAACACTTAAAAGCTCAACATCCTTAGTCATCAGGGAAATGCAAATCAAAATGACCCTGAGATTTCACCTTACCCCCATCAGAATGGCTAATATCAAAAACTCAAGTGACAACACATGCTGGAAAGGATGTGGAGAAAGGGAACTCTCCTCCATTGCTGGTGGGAATGTAAACTTGTACAACCACTTTGGAAATCAATCTGGCGCTTTCTCAGACATTTAAGAATATTGCTTCCTCAATATCCAGCTATACCACTCCTATCCATATATCCAAAAGATGGTCAAATATACAACAAGGACATTTGCTCAACTATGTTTGTAGCAGCTTTATTTGTAATAGCCAGAACCTGGAAACAACTCAGATATCCCTCAATGGAGGAATGGATGCAGAAATTGTGGTATATTTACACAATGGAATACTACCCAGCAATTAAAAACAAGGAAATCATGAAATTTGCAGGTAAATGGTGGGAACTAGAAAAGATCATCCTGAGTGAGGTATCCCAGGAGCAGAAAGACACACATGGCATATACTCACTTATAAGTGGGTACTAGACCTATAAAATAGGATAAACATACTAAAATCTGTACCCCTACAGAAGATAAACAAGAAAGAGGACCCAGAGTAAGATGATCAATCCTCACTTAGAAAGATAAATGGGATGGACATTGAAAGTAGGAGAAAACAGGAAACAGGACAGGAGCCTACCACAGAGGGCCTCTGAAAGACTCTATTCAGCAGTGTATCAAAGCAGATGCTGAGATTCAAAACCAAACTTTTGGCAGAGTGCAGGGAATCATATGAAAGAAGGGGGAGTTAGTATGACCTAGAGGGGACAGGAGCTCCACAAGGACTAAAGATATCTGGGTACAGGGGTCTTTTATGAGACTGTTTTTCTAATCAAGGACCATGTATGGATATAACCTAGAACCCCTGCTTGGATGTAGCCCATTATAGCTCAGTATCCAAGTGGGTACCCTAGTAAGGGAAATAGGAACTATTTCTTACATGAACACAATGGCTGGCTCTTTGACCACCCCCCCCCCCCGAGGGAGGAGTAGCCTTAGTAGGCCACAGAGGAGGACATTGCAGCCATTCTCAAGATACATGATAAGCTAGGGTCAGATGGAAGGGGAGGAGGACCTCCCCTATCAGTGGACTTGGAAAGGGGCAGGGAGGAGATGAGGGAGGGAGGGTGGGATTGGGCGGGAATGAGGGAGGGGGCTACGGCTGGGATACCTGTGATTAATATAAAAAATAAAAATTATAATAAAAAATAAAATAACACATAATTGCAAAAAAGATTATAAATAGACAATGGTTAAGTACAGTTTGAAATAAAGAAAAATTTCATTTATAATAGTTTCAAAAGAACAAAACATTGAAACAATATAAGAAAAAAATTATGTACTGAAATTATAAAACACTGATAAAAAGACATTCAATAAAACACAAAAAGAAATGCATCCTACGCTTACGGGTTGAACAACAGCCTGATAATATAGTTATGCTCCCTGAATTAATATTTCCAACAAACTTCCCATAAAACCTCTAGTCATCTTTTCCCCCTAACAATTCACAAGCTGACCCCCAAATTATTGGAAAAGCAAGCACTAACAAGAATCAAAATAATGTTGAAGAACAAGCACAAAATTGAAACACTAACATTTTAATTTACAACTTCCTGAAAGTTACAGTAATAACATGTCTGCAAATGGATAGCTACACAGATCAATGGAATAGAAGTCCAGAAGTAAGCTCTTAAATTAAAAGCCAACACATTTTCTCTCTCTCATTTCCTTCCTTCCTTCTTTCCTTCCTCCCTCCCTACTTTCCTTCCTTCCTTTTCTTTTTTTTTTTTTTGAGACAGAGTTTCACTGTGTAGCTTTGAGACAGGGTTTCACTGTGTAGCTTTGGCTGTCCTGGACTTGCTTTGTAGACCAGGCTGGCCTCGAACTCACAGAAATCCACCTGTCTCTACCTCCCTGAGTGCTGGGATTAAAGGTGTGCACCACCATGCCTGGCTGGGCCAACTCATTTTCTAAGAATGCCAAAACTATTTGATAGAGAAAAGAATATTCTTTTCAACTAATGGTGTTGGGATAATCAAACACACCACACCAAAGTGCAAAGTTATATTCCTATCTTATAGTATATTTAAAAATTAATTAAAGGTATAGTGACAAATCTTTTGCCAGACCTGAGGATCTAACTCTAATCCCTGGGATCTGCATAGTGGAAGGATAAAACCTATTCTAGAAGATTGTCCTCTCACTTCCATGAGAGTACCTTGGCACCACATCACCAAACAATAAGGAAATAAATAAAATGAATTAAAATAGACCAGAGACCTAGCTATGACAGCTAAACGTATTAAATTTATCAAAGAAAAAATAAGAACCATAGAGTACCTTGAATTAGGTAAAGCATTTTTATTAAATTTATTTTTATTGGTGTGTCTGCATATGTGCCTGTGTGTGTGCCTGCCTGCTAATCCATGTGTGTGTGTTGTGTGTGTGTGTGTATATATATATATATATATATATATATATATATATATATATATATATATATATATAATTTGTGTGTTGCAGTGATAATGGAGGCCAGAAGGGGGCATTAGATCCCCTGGATCTGGAGTTACAGGTGATTATGAGCTGCCTCCTGTGGGCTCTCCACAAGTACTCTTAACTGCTGAGCAATCTCCAGCCCCCAAACCTGAAATATAAACAAACAAAGAAAAAAACAAATGGGAGTAGGGTTGTCTCAGACTGTTGCCTGCCACTGGATTCCTTCCCCCTGGCTGGGGTGTCTTGTCAGGCCCCAGTGGGAGAGGATGTGCTTAGTTTTGCTGTGACTTGATGTGCTTGGTTCGGTTGATACCACTTGGGGGTCTTCCCTTCACAAGAAAATGAAGCAGGGGCGGGGAGGGAGGCATGAGGGCAAGACTGGGAGGAGAAAAGTGAGGGGGCAGTGATCAGGCTGCCAAGAGATTAAAATAATAAGTGGAAAAAAGTAAAAAAAGAAAAATTGGTAACTCTAATAATTAAAAAAAGTTGCATTTTGATACTCATCAGTGACATAAAAAGACAACTCACAGAATGAGAGAAAGTCGTAGCAAATTGCATTTGAGTATGTGCGGAGAATACATAAGTAATCCATAATAAAATGAAAAACAGCCCATCTAAAACTAAACAAACATCACTTTTAGTAGGAGATCAAGTTAACATTATCAGGAATAACACAGAGATACTGAGTATCCTCTAATATGAGGCTTTAAGCAATACGCAGTATCATTTTTCTGCTATTTCTATCCAAATACACAACACACCTATAGTTATAAGGAAACAGCAAACAAACCCAAAATAAAGGACTATGCAACAGACGATACCTGTGCTTTTTGAAAGTATTACGTTTTCAAGATGAGACTAATACAGAGATGGCAACTAAATGCAGCACATGATCCTAGATCAGAATGTGAACCAAAGATAAAACACCTTGTTTTGCTATAAAAGGCATTAGGATGAAAATAAGCAAAATTTTGTACTATATTATAATACCATGTCCATCTTAATTCCTATTTATGTAACTTTAAGAAGTATAAAAGTGAAGGTATCTTGTTTTTAGGAAATACACTGAAATATTTAGAGGCAATACAGCATTATTTTTATGGCTTACTCTTTACTAGTTTAGAGAAAACAAACATGCATATAAAAACAATGTAAAATGACTGTAGTAAAAGGGAATTCTGAGTAATGCATTCATGGAAATTCTTACTTTTTTGAGACTTTCCTATAGCTTTCAACATTTTTAAAAATAAAAAGTACATATTTTATTTGGGCAAAGGAGTTGAACACACATTTCTTTAAACAGGGTACAAAAAAGTGTTCATTCAACACATGGAAAGAGGCCTAGAATTATTTGTCATTAGGGAAATGCAAATATACAACATCCAATGCAATTCAAACAAATACCCACTATGATAGTTAGAACTACAACAAACAAACAAAAAACAACCAAAAATAAAGACAATAAAAGACAGGGAGGTGGAAAAACTAGAAGCTTCATATATTACTAATAGGAATGTAAACTGGGAGAAGAGTTACCCCAAAGTTCAGTATTTTGATGCTAAAATCCCTACAGACTTTGCATACTAACTAAACTTTCATATGGATGTACAGAGAAGTAAAATTCATAATTCAAAAGCTAGAAGCATCCCACATGCTTTTTATTTGTCTGATGAGCAGACAAATAAAATGTATCATTAGTTATACAAAGCAGTACTGCTGTTCAACCCCCGCCCCCCAAAGTAGCAACAAGTATTGATACACGGTTTGCCATGGAAGACTCTTGGAAACTGGATGCTACAGAGAAGAAGACAGGCATGAAAGCCACATATTATGCCACAACATGTAGACAAAATGTCCAAAATGGACAGCTTCACGGACGGTAGGTTGCTAGTTGTGTAGGGCTGACCTTATAGAGGGTGAAGATAAGAGAAAATGGTACGTGAATATTAATGGCTACTGCGTTTCATTTTGGAATAATGAAAATATTTTTAAATAATTTTGTGACGGTTGCAATATCAGGAGCTACATTCAGATCATCAGCTTATATACTTCAGATGGTTTTAAGGTATGTGGATTTTATTTCAATGCTGTAAGACAATTTTCTATGAATTAAAATGTCAAGAAAGTGTACAGTTAATAAACCTTTTTTTCTTAACAAAGATCCTTTAAGATCATCTGCCATAACACACATTACACACACCTACATTATCTGTATAACTCACCTATTACACTGGTCTTCAGTGGAAAAGTAGATTTGAAAGTCATCAGAATTATCATGGACATAAAGAAAACAGCACCGTTCATCAAACTTGGATAGGCTGGAAAATTTCAAAACATATGAATGCTTAATACAAATCCAGAGATGGTGGCACACACTTTTTTTTTTCATTTTTTAAAAAAATTCTTTATTAATTACACTTTATTCACTTTGTATCCCCCCTGTGGTTCCCTCCCTCCTCCCCTCCCAATCCTTCCCTTCCTCCCCCTACTGCACGCATGCCCCTCTCCAAGTCCACTGATAGGGGAGGTCTTCTTTTTCTTCCTTCTGATCCTAGTCAATTAGGTCTCATCAGGAGTGGCTACATTGTCTCCTCTGTGGCCTGGTAAGGCTGCTCTCCCCTCAGGGGGAGGTAATTAAAGAGCAGGCCATTGAGTTCATGTCAGAGACAGTCCCTGTTCCCTTTACTAGGGAACCCACTTTGACACTGAATTGCCATGGGCTACATCAGTGCAGGGGTTCTAGGTTATCTCCATGAATAGTCCTTCGTTGGAGTATCAGTCTCAGAAAAGACCCCTGTGGTACACACTTTTAATCGCAGCACTGGGAGGCAGAGCTAGGCGGATTCTTTAATTTAAGGACAGCCTGGTCTACAGAACAAGTTCCAGGACAACCAGTGAGAAAAAACAAACAAACAACAACAAAATGGAATGAGGGAGAAGGCTATACCTGGGATACAATGTGGATAAACTGTAATTAATATAAAAAATAATAATTTAATTAAAAAAAGAAAAAAGTCTTATAAAATTCTCCAAAGCAAGATCAAAAAAAAAAAAAAGAATACCTATACATAGGCATTACAATGCCACTTCCAATTTTTAAAGAACACTGAAAAAATTTAGTTTAGATTTTCTTCTACTTCCTAAATTCCTGATTTTATTAATCATTATTTTTAAGTATTTCTACTTTTAAATTATGTATATATGCATGTGTGTGTGTGTGTGTGTGTGTGTGTGTGTGTGTGTGTGTGTGTGTGTGTGCAGGTTCTTCAGAGACCAGAAGAGGCTGTAAGATCCTTCAGTTCTGTTGCTCCCCTTGTGGAGGTCCTGTACCCTCCAGGTCTATCTCCCCCTTCTTTCATAAGATTCCCTGCACTCTGCCCAACCAAATAATCTGGGCACAGGGGTCTTTTCTGAGACTGATACTCCAACCAAGGACCATTCATGGATATAACCTAGAACCCCTGCTCAGATGAATCCCATAGGCTGCTCAGTCTCCAAGTGGGTTTCCTAGTAAGGAGAAGAGGGACTGTCTCTGACATGAACTCAGTGGCCTGCTCTTTGATCACCTCCACCTGAGGTGGGTGTAGCCTTGCCAGTCCACAGAGGAAGACACTGCAGCCACTCTTGATGAGACCCGATAGGCTAGGGTCAGAAGGAAGGGGAGGAGGACCTCCCCTACCAGTAGACTTGAAGAGAGACATAGGCAGAGAAGAGGGAGGGAGGGTGAGATTGGGAGGGGAAGAGGGAGGGAGCTACAGGTGGGATACAATGGGAATAAACTGTAATTAATACAAATAAAAATAAAATATTATTTAACAAAAGATCCTTCGGAGCTGGGGTTGCAGGTGATTGTGATCCACCCAACATGGGGACTGGGACCTGAACACAGGTCCTCTACAAGAGCAGTGATTGTTCTTGACCACTGAGCCATCTCTCTAGCCCTAATGCTTCACTAATCTTTTAGAGTCCCTTTGAGTTTGACTATCTATTGCTAAGGCCAATAGGCCTGTGTACATGTGGTAAGGGACTCTTACTCTGTGAAACTGGCTTTTTGAGACATTTATATTGCACATGTGTTTTTCAGTTGACTTTAACATGTATCAAGAGATTCCTCTACATCCAGGGCAAGGAAAACACTGGCAACAGAAAAGAGTACCAAATATAATCTCTGTCTTCTAGGGATTTATAATCTCACAAAAACATAAAGGGAAGTGTATTTATGAAATCATTATTTTAGTCTCAAAGGAATTTCAACAGTTGGAAAGTATCACGATATTCACGGTCAAGCAATGTAAACTTGGGAAAAACCTTTAAATGTTTTCAAGTCTATTTCCACCCAATGTCTGGACCTGACTTAGAGACCTTCAAACCAGAAATATTAAGTTTTCTTAAACACATCCAGTAAATAAAAGTCATCATACTCTACTTATAGATTTCACTGTTAGAAATTTCACTCACATTGGGTAAACACGTCCTCATTCTGCTAAGTAGCACCACAGAGACATCAGGCCAGTTTACCATCTATACAATTAGCTCTTCAAACAAATGAAGCCATTGAGACAGGGTTTCTCAGTGTAGCCTTGGCTGTCCTGGACTTGCTTTGTAGACCAGGCTGGCTTCGAATTTACAGAGATCCACTTGTCTCTGCCTCCCAGAGTGCTGGGATTACAGGTGTGTGCCACCATACCTAGCTTCTTAAACTATTTTTAATGTTAGAGATGACACAAAGATGTACTAAAACAGAAACAGTTCAGGGTGATTCAAAACAAATAAAAGTTAGGTTATATGTGAGCAAAAGGAATCTACAAAAAAGAACTACCATAGCATCCAAAGCATGCCTATTACGCAAGCCCTGAAGTCTAGTTCAGCCCTATGTAAATCCCTACTGATGGCTGAACTGAAGGTTAGAGGTAACTCTATGAAGGGATATAAACAGAAGGCCATGATCACAACTTTTATGTACAACACTTTTGCCTCATAAGATAGTCTTGAAATGTCTTTTGCATTATCTCCTGGTTTTGAGGTAGTATTATACAAGTGCACAATTACTCCTATTTAAACACTAATGTGTTCAGACAGAATCATGCTGGGTGTGAAAGTAGTAAGAAATTCATTCAACGGCTTTCGAGTTATATGAATCATATTTTTAGAGAAAGGACAGAAAACTCTAGCCCAAGCCCTGATTTGATTAAATCAAAAAAAGCAGAATCCTACAGAGGCTGAGTGACTTTTAACAATGCCACATAGTAAAGGGAGAGAGTTCGTATCTACTTCACAGAAAATCCCTTCTTTGGACATCCTGGCAAGTTGATTAGAGAAGCTGAGATATATTTGCCTGGCTTGGGGTAAGCCACGAATGCTCACCATTCCTGATTCAAAGAGCAAGTGGTATACTTCTTGGAATATTTTATCTGTGTTCCCGTTAACAATATCCCTACCTCCAGAGTTCTGTCCAAGGGGTTCTACTCAGGTACTAGGTACAAGTAACTCTTCACTTCAGCCCTAGCCCGGAGTTCTGGGCAGGGGTGGTGAGCAGTTGAACCTTTGGGTTCTAAAAAACTACTCTTTGTTTAGTCAACAGACAGAAGTTATTTTTAAAGTTTGATATCCAATCATTTCTTCTACTGGATTAGAAAAGTTACTATGTTACAAGCCAAGAGGCCCTTAGTAGCAGTACACTATGAATTTCATATGGGGCATTAATAAAGAAAATATTCTCTTAGGTTCTGTTAAGAAAAAGAACACCACAGATTATAAATGAGTGGAAACATTAAAACACATTAAACACCTACAGTGTTTATATTAAGACAAACAACATTTACATTTTTCTCTCATGCTCCTTACCTGATTCCCTTAATAGAAGAGGCTGTAAAATTCCACTCATGGATTTGTTTCTGCAAGTATAAAAGACAGAAGTCAAGAGCTTCATTTTTTTTTTATCAATAAAGTAGCATTTATGGCTTCATTCTATAATTAATTTTTTTTTCTAGTTTGTTTTCAATAGTGATTAGGAGTTAGAGCAATATACTTTGCAAAATTTGGAACACAAAATATTTTCTGAGATGAAATTTCATGTCTCTGATCCAGTTTAAAGCAAATAATATATATCTAAAACACATAGCTTGAGATATATACACAAAAACCACACATATTGAGTAGTCTTTCATCTTCTGTCAACACAGTAGGTAAACTCTGAAATAGGCTTAGGAACAGCTCATCTCAGTTATAAAAATATTTGGAGAAGTAAGACTGACAAAACTCATTTATTTTCACTTTACTTTCTCCATGGACACACAGTAACCCAAAGTTCATTCTTCCCTGCAGTTAGATAAGGCTTTATGATGGAGTCCTGACCAATGGGATGTGAGAAAAACCTTTATGAAAGCTGAGCACAGGGGCACAAGTCTGTATTCTTAGCACTAAGGAGGCAAAAGATTGCCACAAACCCAAGACTATATAGTAAATTGCAGGCCACTCAGGACTACATGGTTAGAGCCTGGCTTAAAAAAAAGGCAAATGAAAACATCTTCTCATGAAAAAACATATTTCTTTTGTTGGTATAATGTTCTTGTGGAATGTATACAATTTAAACTTGTTCATTCAAATGCTGATTTCTCTACCCCATGATATGGTTTCAATTCAGACATTGCATTTTGATGACCTGTCTCAAGTTTGTGTAAACATGCCACCATTTGTTCTCTCTAATTGTCATTGAAACAACCAGCCAGTGCTGAGCAATGGAGAGAATAGGGTGGGACATCCTGGTCCAGAGGGGAGAAGAGAGAAGCGAGTAGGAGGAGTAGGAGAGCAGACATCAGCAGGACAGGACTTGGAACCAGAAGGAGAGATGAATTGGACTGAAGATATGACTAAAAGCAAGTTTAATGTTGGAAAATCTGAATGGGAGGAAACTATGCAGGCTTGGAGGTTTAGGATGACATAATCATTGCCCAGCATTGTGCTCTAGGTTAATTAAGTAAATCCTAGTCTCTGTGTGGTGATTGGGGTGTAGAGCTGGTTTAGGAATAACCACTGTTTAACTAAAAGATGAATCAATAATAAATATTAATATTCAACAACATTTCTTCTTACACAAACAAGCAACAAAACCCATATGCAATATATACAATAATTGTCTACTTTCTTTTTACCCAGCTATTGCAAGATGGAATAGGTCTTCTACTAGTCTGGATATGGCATGAAGCATACATAAAGTTTCATCATGTTAAAATTTTGAAACTGGGGGGTTGTTGTTTTTTAATAGCATGGGAATAAAACTAATGGGTTTCACTACATACCAAGTTTCAACTTTCAAAAATAGTTATCTCTTCCCTCTACCACCATTCCTTGCTCTTAAACTTTGCAGAAAGTTAGGCCTTAGAAGGAATGTCTACATTATAGTTTCAGAAAAGCCAAGACTACACCACCAACATATAATTGTAGAAAATAATTTTAAATAGGAAAATCCATTTGTTCGTCCTGAGGTTGTTTGAAAAGTTCTTTGGAATTAAATATAACATAGTAATAATGAAACAAAATAAATCAGTCTGGACTCCCAACCAAGGGAGCAGGTTATTCAGTATTTCCCAACACACTACCACCTCATACTTCCAATGAGTTTGAATTTTTAATTAAAAAAAAAAACAAGAATTGCATCTCATTCTGTACTGACATCACATGAAGTTGTATACATGTATAAGAGTATTATTCTCTTTCCATCATCCATACCTAAGCCACCAGGAAAAATAAAACTGTGAAGAAAAATGTCATCTTACTATAGGTAACTCACTCTTGCTTTTCCATTTTGAAGATTTTCAATTTGTAATGAAGGCAAATATAGAATGTGTTTCACAGGAAAAAAAAATAAAAATTTGATCTCTCCAACATTTCCTCTAACAAATATAAGACCTTAACAAAACATTTTATTGTCAAGGAAAACTTGCTTTGTGGATAGGTCTTTTCCATTTTTTACTAAGACAGGATTATTTACTATTAGTGAGACACATGCACCAAGGGGAATTTCAATTAAGAACCATCAACCCAGGCTGGAGAGATGGCTCAGAGGTTAAGAGCACTGCTTGCTTTTTCAGAAGTCCTGAGTTCAATTCCCAGCAATCACATGGTGGCTAACAACCATCTATAATGGGATCTGGTGCCCTCTTCTGGTGTACAGGTGTACATGCAGATAGAACATTGTGTACATAATAATAACTAAATCTTAAAAACAAAACAAAACCATCAACCATCCCAGGATTCAAATGAGGGGAGCCACATTGGTAGAAATGCATGATACCAAAACCATTATGTTTTTATAGCATTAGTTTTTTTCTACAACCATTTGTCAAAATGTGAGGTATTTTACATCTAGATCAATGAAATTATGATACTACAGAAATGAACTTTGAAGATTCCACTACATTTTAAGTAGCATACATGGTACAATGAAAATAAGCAAGTTTAGGGGGTGGAATACGAATTTCCATCTCAAGGATGTGAACATGGGACGTGGATATAGGGACGTCTGCCTAAAGGGAACTGGAGCACGTTTTACTGATGTTCTACTCTTTGACCTATGCTGACTTCTGAAGTATGTTCACCTTGTAAATTCACCACATCGTACATTTATGATATGCATATATCTTCATGTATATCTTATAGAGATTGACTTTCCCCAGTCTGTAATATTAGGGACGAGAAATGTTTCAGATTCTACAACATTTCCATAGACCTTAATATCTGAAGATCTCTGATCTAAATATCTGAAATCTAAAATGCTCCAAAATCCGAAGATTTTGGACTAGTAACATTAAAAGAATTTCAGATTTTGGAATATTTCAGACTTTCAGATTAGGGAGGTGCCACCTGTACCTCAATGACAAGATTTTAGAAAAAAAAAAAAAAAGAGGAGCAAATTAAATAAAATGTCTGCACTCTTTGAATGACACATATCTATTATGTTCAAGCACATACATGTGTATAAATTATATCCATATGAAATATAGATATATAAAATGTCTCTCTTTTGCACTCAAGTATTTAATATGTGCAGTGCAGGAAAAATACAAGCACATCATGGCAACTCATCCTATTAATGATTGTTAACTGTATTTTCAACAAGATTGCTCTAGAGTTAAATATTAGACAAGGTTACTGGCCTTCACTTGAGGTCTGATTATGTCTGCTAAGGCATTTCTAATCTGAATTTGAGCCTCTGTTTATTTTACAATGCTGTATTTTATTTGCAAAGATAATGCTTCTTTTTACCTGATAACATAATCAATCCCATTTTTTGCTAACAGGGAAAAAAAATAAATCTTCCTATGCCCAGCTAATGGTAGAAGTCCCCCCATACTCCATGGAAACACACGTATGGCAAATAAAGCTATCTAATGCTCTTGTCACAGGTGCTGTGCTTCATGACTATAGAATTTATGAAGCAAAAAATCCACTGAAGTACTTTTGATAAACAGATGAAGATACTGTTTCTACCACAAACCTGAAGACCTAGCTTAGTATTCTGTAATTCTTTTAATGGGCAACTGTTAGTATAAATATAACCTTGTATAGGTTTGATACTAACTATTGAAATTCTAAACATACATATTTTGTAGTCAAGCAAGCCCATCTCTAAGATGCACACTGGCATGTCATTGGCAAGGGATGAATCTTAATGAGTATCAGTAAAAAAGGTAAAATACAGTAAGTACTGAAAAATACACCATCCCATAAGAAAACATAAGGAACATGTCATTTTAAAATTCAGGTGGCAGGGATTGCTGGGCATTGGTGATGCACGCCTTCAATCCCAGCACTTGAGAGGCAGAGGCAGGCAGATCTCTCTGAGTTTGAGGCCAGTCTGGTCTACAAAATGAGTTCCGGGACAGCCAGACCTACACAGAGAAAACCTGTTTCAAAAAACAAACAAAAAAAAATCAGGTAGCTGGCTGTGTGCTTTCTGAAAAATTGTTAATGATGTATAGAAGTTTCAAAAGAGAAAATGTTAGGCCCAATGTAAAAGTACTTCCTGTACAATCTTCATGACCTAAATTTGATATTTGATCTCCAAATCCCACAGTGGAAGGAGAACATCAAAATTTGAAAGTTGTCCTCTGACCTTCATATGCAAGTTGTGACCATACACACATACACACAACACATATGCATGCACACACGGATGCAAGCATGCACACACTTAAATAAAGTTTCTAACGTTTAAAAGACTTTAAAGCAGAATAAATGTATGTTGAATGGTTGCACCATAATTTAAAATGTCTCTGTATATAAAATAGGGAATGCATATATGTATATTATAAACATGTAAGTGAGTTTGGAGAAAGGATAGAGTGATGTCCACCAAATCACTAGAGATGGGGATGGAAATTGGGACAAGGTTTGAAAATATGGAGGAACATTTTATATCCTGTATCTACTTCCTTATGATCTAACTTTTGGAAAAAACAGCAAAACTGTACTTGGTTTATATTCATATTTATTATACATAAACAAGCACATTCCACTTACACACCCACATACATACGAATACATTCTATACCATCATACACAAAATAGAGAGATCTCTCTTCTTTCATCTGTGCTTATACTTTCATGAACAGTCTGATAATTTACAAGTTAAACATGGATGCCTATTATTCTAATACTACCACAAAATTTGTTCTGTTTGAAAAATCAAATCATTGATTAAATAATATGAAAGAAAGGGATAGTCATGATTTTTCCCTTACCATTTCTGTGGGTGAGACATGCCATAAAGATACAGTTCTTTCCTCAGCTTCATTGTTGATAGAAACATAAGAAGGTTGGTAGACTTTGGTTGGTTCTATTACCAGAACCTAAAATGAGAACAGATTTTTACAAAGCACAGCAGTCTACAACAGATGACCCTGCTGAGTTGGAGTCAGGCCTATAGCATGGCAGGTGAGTCATTATCTGCATGAGGGCTCTGTTCCAATGAGGGCACCTAGAACATGGAATGCACAAGAGTATCCAATCCAATGCCACCTAATACTTCAAAAAGTGTAAGTGAGAAGCAGGAAAGTTGGGCCTCATCACACAGGAGGACAAGAAAGGTCTGCCTGGAAAGGTGACAGAAGTTGTCTAGTGTGCCAATGAGTTCAAGGCTCTTCCTCAGTTTTTTGCTTTTTGTTTTCTAGTAGATTTAGTGTGTCTCATTTTATGTTGAGATCTTTGATTCACCTGGACTTCAGTTTTGTGCAGGGTGATAAATATGAATCTATTCGCATTTTTCTACATGTGGACATCCAGTTAGACCAGCACCATTTGTTGAAGATGCTGTCTTTTTTCCATTGTATGGTTTGGCCTTTGTCAAAAATTAAGTATCTGTATGTGTGTGCACGCATTTCTGGGTCTTTGGTTCTACTCCATTGATCTACCAGTCTGTTTCTATGTGCCAAGACCATGCCATTTTTACTACTGTTGCTTTGTAGCACAGTTTGAGATCAGGGATGGAGATGCTACCATATCTTTTATTGTACAGGGTTGGTTTAGCAATTTTGGGTTTTTTGATTTTCCATATGAAACTGAGAATTGTTCTTTCAAGGTCTATAAAGAATTGTGTTTGATGGGAATTGCAGTGAATCTATAGATTGCTTTTGGCAGGACAGCCATTTTCACTATGTTAACCCTACCAATCCCTGAGCATTGGAATCTTTCCATCCCATAGGCATCTCACAGTCTCAATGTGCCTTCCCTACTAGGGGAACAGTGGCTGTCTCTGACATGGACTAAGTGGCCAGCTCTTTGATCACCTCCCCTTGGGGTGAAGCAGCCTTTTCAAGCTACAGAGAAATAATTCAGCCAGTCCTGATGAGACCTGACAGGCTAGGGTCAGATAGTGGGGGAGGAGGACCACCCCTACCAGTGGACTAGGGAAGGGGCATGGGGGAGAAGAGGGAGGGAAAGGAAGGGATGAAGGAGGGGGCTACAGATGCAAAGTGAATAAACTCTAATAAATAATAACTTAAAAAGACAAAGATGTGACAGAAGAAAGAAGGAAGTTACAGTTTTTGAGAGCAATAAGGAAGCAGGCAGGGTGGCCAGCAGGGACCAACATGTACATATGCAGGGAAATGGAAACTGAGCGGTGTGGTCCTTCAGTAGTGTTGGTTAACTGGTAAAGAATATGGAAGGGAAAAGAAGAAGAAATGGAAGGGGAGAGAAAGAGGGCAGGTAGAGATGTCGGTGGGAAGAGAGGATGAGGAAATGAATCTCCCAAACAAAGCAACTGACACGTTTAATATGGCAAACCTATGTAGGGTCTGCACAAGTTGTCTGCTTTGTTACTGATTTCTACCTATCCAGTTTGAAT